ATGTATTTTAGAATTCTTATTAGTAAATCTTTCCTAGCATGACAGAAATGGCAGTTTCAGAGAGTTAAGCCTAATGCGAATGACGCTGCAGCAAAGGTTTTATTTAACAGAAACATGCTAAGGGCCAGGTGCTGTTCTCAATGCTTTATAATTAGCAATTTGCTTAACCCTTGGCAAAACCCTTTGAAGTAGGTACTGATATGCGCAGCATCCACCTCGCTTTGCAGGTAAAGAAACTGAGGCACAGAAAGGTGAAGTAGCATAGCTGAGGAGCGGGAGAGCTGGGATGGGAACCCCGGGCGGGATCACAGGGATGAAGGCGCGTACTTCAGTGTCCCTTGTCCTTGGTTGTTTGTCTTCAGATGCACGTGCAGAGTGTAAATAATTCTCCTTGGCCACTGCCGCCGCCTTTTCTCACTTTTGGTCTTTTATTACTCAAAAACAGAACAAAACAAAAAAACTAAACCTTCTTTTTTTTTTTTTAAGTTAGCTGTCTGATTCTTTGTGTCTTTGACACTTTCAAGGAAATCACTCTTAGTCCCGTCGTGGACACATAGAACACACAGAACCGCCCTAGAGCTCTCCAGCATCTTTCTTTTTTGGGAGGGTACTGGGAATCGAACTCAGGACCTTGCACTTGCCAGGCAGGTGCTTGTGCCACTGGGCTATATCCCCGGCTCCAGCATCTTTATTTCAGACAATCTCCTAAGATCTTTAGGTCTCGTGGCCTGAACCCCTCGGAGGCGGCCTGGGCGCACACTGTGTACAGATTTGGGTGCCTGTCCCACTTGTTATAAGAGGCAAACATTTCTGTTACCATGCGTTCGGGCAGCCTGCTTCTGTCCAAGGCTGCATGTCAGGGAAGCCTGCGACAGATGTCGAGTGCTGCAGAACTCTGCATGCCTCCAGATGCCATCCCCGGAGGAGCTAGGGGTGATCTCTTGGGTTAAGGAGGTGTTTGCATTCTGCTGTCGTGTGAGGGGCCAGGAGTCAGCCAGGGAGCGTCCCGCTGCATCCTGGCCCGGGCAACATGACCCCCACTAGCCACTCCGCCCCCACCCTTGCCGAGGAGGCAGCTGCAGCTGGTCAGAGCCCAGAGGCCGCAGCCCACACTGGGCTCTTTGTCTTTGGTGGGAACCCTGCAGCCCCCATGGCCCTTCTCAAGGGCCCACTGTCCCAGCACCAGCAGGGCCTCCTGGGGGCCAGGCCCGGCTGGGAAACTTGGCATGGTGCAAGCTCCTTGGCTGCCTTACCAACTGGGCATGCAGAGCCCACTCAGGAATCACTTATCCTGAAATGAGACTAGCAAGGCTGAGCTCCAAGCCCAAGAGGGTGCAGCAGGCAGAGGGGGCTGGAGTCCTGGGCCCCGCCAGGGCTGTGCACACCCCCTGCAGCCAGGCCTCTCTCCTGATTTCTCTTGCACCCCGCCCCCAGGAAGGAAGGAAAGGAAGAAAGGTGGGAAGGACTTCCTTCTCCTCAGGTGGCCTGGTGCTTCTGAGCCTCCCCCTCAGCAGCCCCCCAACCTGAGCTTCCCTGTGCAGAGTGGACCTCCCACACCCAGTGTGCCCCCACCCAGGGTCTGCAGCCCAGCCCTGGCTCCAGGGGACCCAGCCCAGGGGACACCGGAGAGTCTCTGAGAGCTGCAAGCCGAGGCAGGTGTGTCTCTAGGGTGAGGACTAGCCTGGAGGTTACTTGGCGCACGGGGAGTGTGGAGATGAGGGAGGTCTTTGGTGGGAGCAGAGGGGGCCTGGGGCAGCCCCCAAGAGAGAAGTCACAGCCGGCAGCAAAAGTCTGTGTTTAGCCAGGCATGGTGGCACACGCCTGTAATCCTAGCACTCAGGAGGCTGAGGCAGGAGGATTGTTGTGAGGTTGAGACCAGCCTGGGCTACAAAGTGAGCTCAAGGCCAGCCTGAACTGCATAGCGAGACCCTGTCTCAAAAAAACAAACAACAAAAAAAGAAAGTCTGTGTTTCTTCTGGTCTGGAAGGGGGAAGCCAGGGCACCACCTGCACCGGCCCTGGCCTGAGGTGTGCTGTCAGCCAGCCCTGTTCCCCAGCAGACACTTCCCAGGGAGGGTCGGCACAGAGCAAGCCCTGGCCCAGTTCCTGGAGGGCTTCTGAAGAATCCCTGCCCCTCGATCCTTGTGCCCTTGGTTGTCCTTTCTCCCACAGCCCCCATTGCCTCTGTTCCCCAAAGATCCTTTAAGCAGAAAGCCTCATAGAAACCCTCAGGGCTGTGACAGTTCCCCAGGATTCAGAGGTGGGGTAGCCATGCCTCCCTCTGTGGGGAGGAGTCCTGGGGCAGAGCCAGTGCCCCATGTGGGCTGACATGTCTCCAAGTAGGTCAGAGCGGTGGACCTGGAGCCTGGCCTAACCCTATGCAGAGGAGGGACTTAGAGTGTTGAATGGGTGAGTGACTGACCAGGACACAGCCAGTTACCCCCACCAAAGGTGTCTCTGTGAAGGAACCCGAGCTGGAAGAATTTTCAGGAGGTGAATAGAAACTGGCACACGCCTGTAATCCCAGCACTCTGGGAGGCTGGGGCAGGAGCATTGCAAGTTCTGGTCCACCCTGGGCAGCTTAGTGACTGTGTCTCAAAATAGAAAATAAAAGAGGGCTGAGGATGCAGCTCAGTGTAAAGGCCCGAGCTCAGTTCCCAGTTCGGGGCCAGTGGTGGTCGGGGTGTCTCCACACTTCCCTTTTGCTCAGCCTCCTGATCACAGCCATAGGGCAGAGGCATTTCCAGGAAGGGGCCGAGCTGGGGCAGTTGCATGGCCGTGAGCGTGGGCATTAGCGGGGCCGCTAGAGTCTCTGCTCTTCCCTTTAAGCTTTCGTTGACCTGAACAGCAGAGCATGAGCCCCTGGACGGGCTGCTGGGGCCGGCACTTACTGGGCACTCGCTGTGTGCCAGGGCCCAGGCCAGCACCGTCTGCCTTAACTCTGCTCCTTGTGGTTAGGGCTGTAGGAGGCCAGCAGGCTCCGTCTCGCTCCGCAGAGAACTTCCAGGTCCTCGCGCACGATGCAGACCACTCTGACCTGGGTCCCAAACTCCTGACCCGCCCGGCCCACTGTGCTTCCCGCCGCTGGGTGATGGGGCACGGATCGGACAGAGGCCCGTGGCTCCGTGGGGCACGGAAGAGGCCATCGCCCCCGCTCAGCCCCGCCTGCCTGCCCGGCGAGGGCGGCGCGAACAAGCGGCCCTTTCTGCGCTGCTGCTGGGCAGCTGGAGCGCGGCCGCGGGCGCCCACTTCCTGGCCGGCGGGCGGGGCGCGCGTTGCCGAGGTGACCGCGGAGAGGGCGCGGGCCGGGGAGGCCGGCGGCGGTGGCACCATGAGCGGCCGGCGGCGTAGCTTCACCTTTGGCGCCTACGGCGGGTAGGTGCGTCCCGACTGGAGCTAGGGGACTCGGAGCTGTGACTTCTGTCCCGTGCGCGTTGGTCCCGTGTGTGCACAGCGCGTTCCGTTGCCAGGTCTGGGTGTGTTTGCGCGTGCGCATCCTGCTTGCGTGTCCCTGTGCACGTGTGGGGACGAGAGTGTAGCGTGGGGTTAGTTGGCGAGTGGCTAACAGCATGACCACTGACGTGTGTGACCTGTGGAGACTGGCGTATGTGTACGTGGATGTGGACACGTGCATGCGGGTGCATGGATAGGTGTGCGGGGTACCAGCGGGCAGTCAGGTGAAGCTCCGCCGGTGCCCCCACTTTGCCTCTGGAGCTGGCGGGCGCCTAGAAGCTGCTAGTGCCCAGGCCACCTGACCTCAGGCCACAGGAGCCCCTCCTCCCTGGGCTGGGCCTGGACGCCTGAGGAGGGATCAGAGTGGCAGCTGGGCCATCCCGACCTGTTTGGGGGGTGCAGGAGTGGGTTGGGGGTGGTTCTTGCCCTGGGAAATGTTTGTCAAGTTGGAAAGAGGCTGGGACACATAGCCTGGGCCCAGGGGCCCCTCCTGGCTACCAAGGGCTGCATGACCTTCGCCAGGCCCTGTCTCCTGGCCAGCAGTGTGGGGGTCCTGGGATTGGAGAACTTGCGTCATGGGCCTGGGTGTTGCTGGGGTGCAGTCAGTGCTTTCTGGGCTGTGGGCCTTGCGTCCACCTCAGGGGACCCCAGAGAGGGACGGGTGGGTGGGACACAAGAGGGCTGTCCGGTGGCGAGGGGAACCTGGCCCAGGCCCCAACTTCCTTGTCAGCTGGCACGGAGGGGCAGCCGGAGGTGGAGTCCAGGTCTGTTGCATGCCCTTGGGTGAGCCTGGCCTCTCTGGCCCCACCTTCCTGCCTGTACAGCTGACCTTTCTCCTCAGCTGACCCAGGGACGCCCAGCCCTACTCCCAGAAGCCACCCTCTGGCTGGCCCAGGGTTCCCCTCCCTCCTTCCCTTCTGGCCTAGGGGCAGAAGGCAAGAGTTGTTTGTCGTCTCAACAGCCAGGAGCCTCTTGGCCCCGGCTGGGTGGGGGGGGTGGAGCCCTGCAGTCCACCCCACCCCCGGTGCCCGAAGAGGGCAGTGGGGGTGAGACTCTGGGAGAGGGCACTGTCCACACTTTCTGGGAGGCTGGACTTAGGAATGTGGCAGCAGGGTCTGGGGGTGCCCTGAGCTCCTGGGGGCAGAGATGTTCGGGGGGCTAGGGAGCTCCTCGTGGGTCTCTCCCAGTTTCCGGGCATTTGTCCTCCTGGGTGGCTGTGAGTGAGCTCCAGCACTGGGGCTGAGGTGGCCAGGGGCTTAGGGGTGAGTGTGGACTTCTTCCTGCCTGCCACAAGCCAGTCACCTGCACCCGGCCTTCCTCTGACCGCACACTGTCCTGCTCCACCTGTCCCCAGGCCTGCGCTGCTAACACCCCACGGCCCCTAATCCTTACTCGGGGACCCCCCGCCTCCCTCTGTCCCTCACCTGACACAGGGCCCTGCTGCCAAGGGAGCTGTGACTGCAGAACCTGCTCTGGCCTCTGGGGGGCAGGGCAGGGCCAAGATGCTGAGAGGGCGCCCTCTCATGACTGCCCCTTGCTGTGTTTCAGGGTGGACAGGTCCTCCTCCCCTCGCCGGACTCTGTGGTGAGTACTGGGGACTCTCAGGAGGGCCTGGGGACACCTTCAACCCGTTCCCACCTCCTATAATGCCAGGCCAGACCTGCCAACCCTCTCATCACCCTCTCTGGGGCAGCGCGTGGGAAACCTTGTTTTCAGCACTCAATTCTGTCAGGAGCTCTGCTGCAGAGTCAGGCTAATCATGCCCAGAACCTAGCTCCGCCACTGCCTGTGGGGCCTTCAGTGATTTATTAGCATCTCTGATTCTCAGTTTTCTCATCTGTGAAATGTGGATTGAGATACCCATTTAATGCTGGGTGTGATGGTATCAGGCTGTGATCCCAGCTACTCCTACTCAAGAGGCTGAGGCAGGAGGATGGCAAGCTTAAGGCCAGCCTGGGCAACTTAGCTCAGTTGTTATCACAAAATGAAAAATACAAAGGGATGGGGATGTAGCTCAGCACTTCCTAGGTTTAATCCCTAGTACTTAGGGGGGAAAAAGAGCCTATTTAATAGAGTATAAGTTTTAAAAATCAAGGAAACAAACCAGACATGGTGACCAGCACTAAAAAGTTTCCTTCCTTTTTCTTTTTCCATCCTTCCCTCTTCAGGGTAGCTCCTGGCTGGGCATGAGGTACTTTAGCCGTTTCTCTGGCCCCCAAACCTATAGACTGCCCTCAGACCCACCTCTGTAGCCCCTTTCCTGTGTCTGAGCCGCCCTCCCTTTGAGGAGGAGGGGGCAGCAGTGTTTGCACCAAGAGGCAGTGAGCTGAGGGCATGGTTTCCACACGACACATGATGCCCAGCAGGCAGGCACCTCCGGCTTCCATGGCACCAGCACCCCGTGGCCTGGCGGGCAGCTCCTGCTGCCACTTCACCTGCGGCCGGAGAGACCCCCAGCGGCTCCTGCTTCCTGTCCTACTGAGGGCTTCCTGGGGGCTGGAGGCCTGTGGTGCCACCACAACCCCTGGGAAGCCACACCCCGGGCAGGAGCACATGGGGTGTCCAGGCGGAGCCTTTTCATTGCCCTCTGACACTCCCTGCATGGCCTGGGGCGGTGCCGTCCCTTTCTGAGCCGGATCTCCTGCTGCCGTGCTGGCAATCCGAGTCTGTCTTGCACACAAGACAATGTGCTGTGCCCAGAGCAGCAGTAGAGTGGGGGAGATAGAGACAGAGGAGGGAGACCCTGCCCTTTCCCGTAAGGACCTCAGTAACGGTATCACTAACAACTGCAGCGGTCATGCACCTGCTAGGCGCTCTTGGGTGCTTGGCATGCACCGTTGCCCAGAGCCTTGAGCACGCGTCTGAGTTAAGGACTTTTCTATCCAACTATGGGTGACAGCAGAGAGGCACAGAGTGGGAAGCAACTCGTCGAAGGTCACACAGCACAGAGCGGGGATTTGAACCTTGACCTTCCAGACTGTGCACAGCCCACTGTCACTCACTTTATCCCAAGGCCTCCAGGTCTTTGGCGGGGCCTGAACAAGGGCTGCACTGGAGGGGAGACTTGGAGCTGGAGAGGTAACCTAGAGGTCCCCTCTAGGGAGCCCTGAACCGAGAGTTAGAGATAAGAGCTAAAGGCTGATAGTAACTGAACAGCTGTGTGACTTTGGGTAAGTCCCGTTCCCTCTCTGGACCTCGGTGGACATCTATGAAAAAAGAATCTGGAGTCCCCTGGACCCACCTGTCACCCACAGTGCCTGGCTCTGAGGCTCCCCAACCCCGAGTCGCTGTCCGAGGTGCTAACCCAGGGCCTTCCCTTCCTGACCCAGAAGCCAGTTGTTCTACCTGTGCCCAGCGTCTGTTTGTTGCTTAGTAACTGATGGCCGTTCTGACCATTAACGACAGTCTCCCTGGCATTCAAGAGCCACCTCCCTGTCCAGTAGGGGCTCACTCCCCTGTGCCTTGAATGGCCGATGGGACTCCAGTCCCAGCCAGCGCGACCACCATGCTTTTATTCACGTGCCCTCCTCCCTCAGCGCCGTCCAATGTCCCCGCCCTGCCACACCCCGGGCCCCTTCCTGTTCCCATGCTGTCTCCTTCCTGAGCCCGCATCCCCTCTCCCAGACCTTTGAGTGCCCCCTGCTGTTCACCACGCGCATGGCAGGAATTACTCTGGGGGAGTCTGACCCATGGGGACTGAATCAGCCCCTGCCGCTCTCCAGCTGTGTGGCCTTGGGCAGGTCGTTCCCCGTCTCTGAGCCCCCTTGATGCTCACAGCTGTTTGTGAATAGGCTACTGTAGGGAGGGGACCAAGAGGAGCAGGGTGTGTCCACATCCCCTGGAGACACGAGGCAGGCTCCCAGGTCTGAGAAGCAGGGGCTGCTTGGTTGCTTTGGGGCTTGACCTCATGATGCTCGGCACAAGTCCCCTCCGGCCGGGCTACGTGCTTCCCTTTCTCTGTCCTTGCGTGGTCTTGCAGAGCCACCATGCCCAGTGAATGCTTCATGGCTGTTTATGGAATTGAATTGAATGAATTGTGTGCAGAAAGCAGAGCGGTGAAACTTTGTCAGCAGTCTGGGAAAGCTTCCTAGAGGAGGTGAGAGTTGTCCCACTGCCTTTAAAAAAAAAAAAAAAGCTTAAGAGGTTGGGGCTTGGATCTTAGGAGCAGCAAGGCTCTGTAGAGGCCAGATCAGTTGTGGCTGGATTCCCCCACTCTCACCCCTCAGCTGGTTATCTTCAGGGGAGGGGCTCAGAGCAGGAGAGCGCGGGGAAGAGGAGGCACCATGGAAGGGTGGGGGCTGGTGAGAATTCTGGTTCTGCAGCTCTAAAGGACCACACACACACACACACACCCTGCACACAGAGTAGGGGCTGGGCACTTAGGGTGGATTCAGGTGGGGAGTGTGGGGGAAAGCCAGGTGGACGTCCCCAGAGCAGGGACTTCTGGGAATACCTCTTGAAGAGGAGAGTTGACTTTGGCCTTAAAACTGGGAGCCTAGGAGGAGGCAGGACCTGGCCAGGATGGAGTGTTGGCAGTGTCCTGGGCACTGAGCCGTGACCTCAGCCCTGCAGGTTGGCATTAGTGTCCCCGTTAGAGAGGCCAAAATCAAGACTGAGAGCAGGGAAGGCTGTGGCCTAAAGTCACTCACCTGGTGAGGGCTGGGTTTGAATCTCTCTCTTGCCAGTGATTGTGTTCTGTTTGTTTGTTTGAGACAGGGTCTCCCTATGAAAAGCTCAAGGCCCACTTTGTAGCCCAAGCTGGCCTCTAACTCCACGATCCTCCTGCCTCAGCCTCCTGAGTGTTGGGATTGCAGGCGTGCGCCACCATGCCTGGCAACGATTGTGTTTTGGTCAGAGATGGGGGAAGTTTTGGTTATGGGAAAAGTGGCAAAATGATGCAGCCTGGAATGCCCCCAAAATGGAATAGTCATTGTCCACCCCATGTGTCCCACTGGGAGGGTCTGTGTGTCACTGACATGTCCCCTCATGGCAGTATTAGTACCAATTGCTCTCCTACATGGGATGCTTCCTGTGTCCTGGGCTCTGGGCCAGGTGCTTCACTGGAACTGTTGCTTTCCATCTTGATACCAGCTGTGTAGAGGAGAGGCTACCCTACCCATCCCCATTTTACAGATAAGGAAACTGAGGCTCAGAGTGTGAACGTGGCTGGCCCCAGGGCATGCTGCCAGTGAGTGGTAAAGCAGCACTGTCAGCAAGGGCAGCCTGCACCCAAGCCTTCAACACTGCTGTCCTGAAGCTGCTGGGCTGGGTGGTGGGCTTTGGTGGGTGACCCCATCCTCAGGTAGCTCCCCTCGGTGGTCACAAAGAGGCCCCAGGGGGCTCTGCACTGCTGCAGGAAGCACGAGGCTGGCTCTTTAGAGGCTCTGAAATGCCAGGCAGGCAGGGCCTGCTGGGCCCCCTCATCTATTATGCATCTGGTGGGCAGGCCCCTGGCGGGCAGCTGGCAGAGCACAGGCCAGGGAGCTGGCAGCTGCCTCTTGAGCGCACACCTGCCACCACCTCTGGACAGGGACCTGCCAGGCAAATGCCAAGGCAGCACCTGCTGTGTTGCCCAAGCCCAGCCAGAATGAGGGGGTCCTGCTGGGGACCAGGGCATGGACGCTGGTGTCCAGCTCATTGAGCTACCCAGCCTGGCAGCTGCTCTGAGAAGGTGCAGCCCTTGCCTGCTGTGTGCTGGTTCTCAGTGCTGCAGGGCCAGTGGGCATCAAGGCAGGCCAGCGCCCGTGCCAGAGATCTTGCTTTGGTCAGTGCTTGGCCTCTCTGAGCCTCATTTTCCTCATTTGTATTCCATTTTTTTTGTTGTTTTTTTTTTTTGTTTTTTTTTCTGGTACCGGGAATCGAACTCACAACCTTGTACTTGCCAGGCAGGCACTGTGCCGCTGAGCTAAATCCCCAGTCCTTTCCTCATTTGTAAACCAGGGATCGGAGAGGCAGACTCTTGGTAAGGAGACAGGATGCCCAACTCGGATACGTGCCTGAGCTTCGAAGCAAGGCTACGTGCTTGCAAGGAGAGGTCCTTCCCGTGGGTTTACCGTGAGCCAGGCTGAGTTCCAAAGCAATCTGCGCACATGCACGAATTTCATCATTTCTAAGCTAGTACCCGGGTAAGGGCTGAGGAAACTGAGGCAGGAAGGCGAAGGCCCCGCTCAAGCTGTCTTGGCAAAGCTGCAGTTTGAACCTAAGCAGTCACTCCAGCCTGCCTCTCACCCTGTGCTGGATGCTAGAGGAGGAGCGAGTCATCAAAAGCTTTTTAGAGCCGGGCATGGTGGAGCATTCCTGTAATTCTAGCACTCAGGAGGCTGAGGCAGGAGGATAGTTGTGAGTTCGAGACCAGCCTGGGCTACACAGTGAGCTCAAGGCCAGCCTGAACTGCACAACGAGACCCAGTCTCAAAAAAGACACACACACAAAAAGCTTCTTAGAAGAAGGAATATTTGGACCAAACCTAAGGAATGAGAGGAGCCAGCCATGAGAAGAGCTCGTAGGTGTGGGATAGTAGTACCAGAAAAGGAAGAGGAAGTGCAAAGGCCCTGTGGCAGGAATGAGCTTAACATGCACTGCAG